CTCCAAAAGCGTGATTTTGATAGATTTTCTCAAAGGACACAGGATGATTATGAGGGTTTATTATGAATAAGTTTTAAGAAAATCGAAAACTGCATTGGTAAGAAAAGGTCAGGGAGGTTGCATTGAAGAATTTCTTTCAATTATTAAAATGCTCATTTTTGAGGGTAGCAAGGGCTGTCCTGTGAGAAATTCATTGGGAACCCTAACTCACCCACCCTGTAGCCCTTCAGATCTTTTTCTTTTCAAAACAAAACAAAACAAAACACTTACGTGAATTGAGTGAAGGTTTACAGACAAGATCATCAGCTTTGCATTCAACAGATCATACACTTTGTTTCATCTGGATGATTGCAGTCCCCTCCATATATCAAGTTATCCAGCTCCCTCCCTGTGCTTCCTGTTTGCATTCCACCCACCTTCCATTCCCTTCCCTTCTCAATGCTGTCCTTAGGAAAATGTTGCCCTTTTGATTTTGAATGACCATTCCATGGTAAGCATACCTTACTAGTGTCCATTTCAGATTTCTTTTTGTTTCTCAAACTGAAAGAACATGTAAAAGGAACACAATTTGAGTCCCTCAGGGGTGCCATGCCTGCTGTTTGGATGTGGTGTAAATCAAAGAGCACAGAATTCTTTGGGAAAAAGTTAAGAGATGGAAACACCACTTCAGGAGTGTATAGGCCTAGATAGAGGCTATGTTGTGAAACAATAGCTTTATATTTTGATGTTTTTGTTTAATAAAAGGTATATTTTTGTAGCGATACTTTCTGACTTACAGGTGCATGGATGTTTTTCAATGTTGAAGCTTGCTTTGTGGCCTAGAATACGGTGTATTCTGGAGAGTGATCCACGTGTGTTGGAGAAGAATGTGCACTGTGTTACTGTTGGTTGGTATGTTCTGTGTATGTCTGTCTTAGTTTGGTTGTTGTGTCCCATATATGTCTGGGTTATCTAGAGCTGCTATAACCGAACTACCACAAACAGAATGCATTCCCCTACAGTCTAGGCGGCTAGAAGTCTGAACTCAGGACACCAGCGTCAGAGAAGGCTTTCTTTCTCTGTCAGTTCAGACACAAGGGCCTGTTACAGATCTTTCACCTGAGTCTAGGAGTTTTAAGCACAGGAACCCCAGGTCCAAAGGACACATTTTGTCCGGGGCTCTTCTTTCTTAGTGCTATAAGGTCCCTCTTTGCTAATGAAGGATCATTGCTGTTAAGTGCCATCAAGTTGGTTCCGACTCATGGTACCCAGTATAGGGTTTCCAAGGAGCAGCTGGTGGGTTTGAACCACCAACCTTGTGATTCGCATTCCAGTGCTTATCCTATAGCACCACACCAGGAGTCCAATTACATATCATTGACACATATTTTGGGGGGCGGGGAACACAATTCAATCCATGACATCCCACATGGTCTTTTTTGTTAGAGACTCCCATATTTTAAAGCTGTGGAGAATTTTTAGGGCTCCAGAACTAAGGAGAGGTGAAGATGGTTTGAAAACAGAGGTGAGTAGTTTTTCTTCATGGTAAATTTGTATTTATCTTCATTCATACATTCATGGATTTATTAGTAGGTATCCAGGCTTCCTAAAGCCTGGAAAAAGTGTTATTTTTCCACCTGAATATCATTTATCACACTTGGATAAACAGTAACTAAATCCAGAGAGATTGTATCCACTTTTCAGTGGGACCCACCACAAACACCAGGTCCAAAAGGGCAGGATGAGAGCTTCCTTGACACAAAGGCAGACCTGGCATTCCTTCTGGAGAACAAGCACCACTGATTGGAAGGCTTTGGGAGGATGGAGTCCAGCGGATGAAAAAGTACTGCCTTCATTTCCCAGCACATCGCTCGCTTGTTGGGGACACAAACCCAACATGGCCAGCCGGACCTAGCAATTTTGGATGAGCTGTAGTCTGAGTTGTTGTTAAGTGCCATCGAGTCAGTCCCAACTCAGAGCAACCCTGCATAGGGTTTTTAAGGAGTGGTTGGTAGGTTTAAACCACTGACCTTATGGTTCAAGCTGGCCGTGTGGTCCAGTGTGTTCTACAGTGCCACACCAGGACTGAGCAGGTATGTACTCTTGGAGAAGGGGCCCTGGTTCCTGAGCACTTAGGTAGGTTAAAGTAACCAGGAGTGGTTAAGCACTAATGAGCTGAGTCCCTGCATCTCCACCTTGGACCCTCTTCCTGCATGGAGACATGTTCACTCTGCCCACTAGAGGAGGAAGCTTGCTTCAAACATGGGGTGGAGGGAGGAAGTGGTAAGAAGGCTTCGGATATGCACATCTATGTCCAGATTCCACACCAGGGTTAGAGTCTGGCTGGGGTTCCAGGAATTGTGGTGATAGGGACAATGGTTACCTCCTCTGCCTTCAACCTGAGGATGAGTTCCTTTCTGCAAATGACTTGGGTGGTTTCCTTAGTCATAACCACATGTCTGGAGGGAATGAGCAGCTGAGCTTAGGGACTCAGGGTCCTAGTCTTGGAGGACACCAAGGTCAATTGCCACAGCCTAGCATTTTACATTCTACTTTGGTGAGCAGCAACTAGGGTCGTCAAAGCTTGTAAGAGGCCATCTAAGGTAAAAAAGTTGGTTTCGCCATATTTGAAGCAAAGAAGAGTGATGGAAATGAAAAAAATAAGAACATTTGAATTAATCCAAAGCACTAATGGACCACACAAACCTCAGCCTCCATGACACTGAGACTAGAACTAGATGGTACCCAGCCACCACTGCCAACCTCTGAAAGGGATAGCACTCATCGGTCCTGGAGAGTGGCAGCAAGATGTGGAACAAAACTCAAAATCAAAAGACAGACCAGGCTTACTGGTCTGATAGGTACTGGAAGAGCCCCCAAGACTACAGCCCTAAGTCACTTCAAGCCTAGAACTGAACTCAGCTTACCCTATGGCTCAACTTTCAGGCAAACAATAGCCTATAAGATGAACAGTAATACCAGGGAGGTACCCACTCCTTAGAACAATCAACCATGTGCATTCACATGGGCAGCATGTGCCAGGGATAAAGCTCAGAAGGCCGGAAAGGATAGGAAAGACCCAAAGGAAATGGGAAAGAGAGAGGAAGTAGAAGAGTGCTATTACATTGTAGAGATTCCAATCAATGTCACAATACAAGAGGTGCATGGATTTTGATTGGAAAACCAATTTGTTCTGCAAACTTTCACCTAAATCACAATTTAAAAAAAAGACATAGGTAGAACCTGGGTTCAGACCAGTTGGTAGCGGTGGCATTGCCAGGAACCCCATACACATAGGCCTGTGGTCTAATGGAGACTGCTTCAGGACAGCCGTTCCCCTCCACTTGGCAAATACAGAGCTGCCTGTCAGATGACGCCGGTGCTTGGACCCTTAAGAAAACAGCCACTCCAAATCTCATTGCTGAAGAGAATAGCCAATGGCACAGCCCCTTTGAAAAACAGATTTAAGTTTCTTATAAAGTTAGATGTACACCTTGAACTTGGGAGTCCCTGCTCTGTGAAGCTCTTAGATCCAGGGAAAGATTGATGCCAAAACAAGGACCATTCTCTAAAGCTGACAAAGCCTTCCACTAGAGTGGGCACTCTGAATTTTTACTTCTAGCCTCAACTGTTGAGAATTAAAAAAAAAAAACAAAAAACCCAATTAGTGGCAGTTCAGTACTCTGATGTGTGGTCATGGATTTATCAGATTTCCTTACTGGTACTGAACTCCCTTATTGGTTGGCGGACACTCTCATGATACCCAGTATCAATCACTATTTTCAACAGGTTCCATCATAGTGCCCAGGGATTTCCATAGGATGATTCTACAAGAACTGCTAATGAAGGGAAGGTCTAATTGAAGGCTTCTGCTATCTGCAGCCACCATTTCCCAGGTCCCTTAGCAAAAAGTCAGTGATGCGGTTCCCAGTTCAGCATGGGGCACACTGGTTCTGGATAAACCTTCAGCACAAATAGTCCCTTGCCAGTCCCCAGTAAAACAGGAACCCTAGCTGGACTCAAAATTCTTCTTCACCAAGCCCTGCCAGGAGTTTGCACACCAGCTCAGTCTAGCCACTGCAGCTTTGAGATTGTCAGCACTTCCAAAAACATGACTCTGTAATAGGCTCTGTGCCTGTGTGGGACCGAAGCCATTGTAGCTATGCCAGACTGAGCTGTGTGTGGCTTTGGGTCCTCAGAATGAGCTGTCCTTCCATGCAAAGCTTGGTTTTCATACTGTCATTATGAGAAAGTTCCTTCTGTGGGTTGATTTTGGGTTAAAACTTTGTGTGCAATTTCCACACAAGTAAATTAAGGATCCTGACAGTAGCAGGAAAAATACAAGAGCTGCAATAGAAAACATGTCACTACAACACTAAACAGAGAACAATCCTGACTCTTAAAAATACTGGTTTTCATAGGAGGAAGGCTGGAAGAAGTAAAACACTAAAAATGGTGATTCTAAATGGTATTTGCTCGATACATACTTTTGTGGTGTGTCCTGGTGTGGCACTGCTGGTTAATGCGCTGAACTGCAAATTCAGTTGGAACTGCAAGGTTGGCAGTTCAAGCTCATCAGCCACTCCTTGGAAACCCTATACAAGGTTGCTATAAGTGGGAACTGACTCGATGGCACTTAACAGCATGCACTCTTGAGTTAAAATCTTTTTCTACAATAGATCACACTGTTTTATACTCTGAAAGAATATTAACACTTAAAATTGATTGGTGTCGTTAAGTGCTGACAAATCGGTTTTGACTCACAGCAACCCTATATATGATTTTCAAGGAGGGGCTGGTGGTTTGAAGTACCGGCCTTGCGGTTAGCAGTCCAGTGCTTATCCTATAGCATATCAGGACTTCATAGTAGATTTTTAAAAAACACCACACAAATAAAAACATCTATGTGGCAACAATTGTGAGGTTGGACCAGGATCAAGCAGTGTTTCATTCTGTTGTGCATATGCTCCCTATGAGTCAGTACCGACTCAATGGCACCTAACAACAGATGTGTTGGAGACTTTCTAGTGAAAAACATTTTTATGCAAATGAACCAAAATGCAAACGCTATTTATACAAACTAATGTCCTAGATTTGAATGTATTTTGAGTGATATTTATCAGTTTAATGTTTTCATCACAAAATACAAAGCTGAAACTATAGTGCACATAGGGATAAATAGCAATGCTAGATCCACATTTGTAGCTTAAAACTTTTTCTTGCCCTTTTATGTATTTTCTTGTGCACAAAAATAAAAAATGTGATCGAAAGCTTTCTCACAATGTTTACAGTCACAGGGTCTCCAACATATGAAACCTCATTGTTGTTAAGTGTAGAGTTGGTTCCGACACATAGATAGCCTGTCTAGGGTTTCCAAGTGGCTGGGGCAGTGTGTTATCCTGCGGTCCAGGCATTATCTTTCAGTATCGCACCAGGACTCACAGGCTTCCTAAAGGAGGCGGCACACTGAAGACTTCCAACAACTTTGACATTCACAGAACTAATCTATAAATGAGTCCTGGTGTGGCGCCATGGGATAAGCACTCAACCTCAAGGTCAGTTTGAACCACAAAGTCAGCAGTTCAAACTCACCAGCTACTCCACGGAAACCCTACACAGGGTTGCTGAGTTGGAACTAGCTCAATGGCACTTGACTAAGGTTCAAGCACATTGTTTTCATTCAATTTTCCAATCACTTCAACAGGGTTAATTAGGGAAAGCTTTTCCATATACATGAATTCTTCCCATTCTTTAAACTTACATGATGTGTCTACATCTGTTTTCTCAGGTTTGTAAAAGCTAAAGAATGAAAGCTATTTACAAAGCACTTAGACGTACACTGTTTCTCTCCAGTGTACCTACTCCTAAGTTTTCCAAAGGGAGACTTTCCCATATTCTTTCCATTCACAAGGACTCTGAGCTAGTAGGACTACAGAGGGAGGAAGAACAATGAAAGACTTTTCCAGCCTCCTTGCATCCATAAGCCTGCTCTCTACTGTGAGTTCTCAGATGAAAACCACTAGTCACATATTCTTTATACTCATAAGGTATCTTTGCATTGTGAGTAACATGTGCTTAGTAAGGTCTGAGGACTAACTAAAGGCTTACATTGTTTACACTCCCCAGGTTTCTTTCCACAGTGAATTGTCAAATGGCTACTGAGATGAGTGAAATAAATTCTTCCCCACATTCCTGACATACATAAGGTTTCTCTCCACTGTGAATGCTTTTATAACTAGTGAGGGTTGAAGACTGATTTAAGGTTTTCCCACATTGCTTACAATATCAGACTTCTTTTCATTGTCTTTTTTTTTTTTTTCCTTCTAAATTGTGTGGTTGAGAATATAAACAGTAAAATATATACCAAGTCAACAGTTTCTGTATTTACAATTTATTGAAACATTACATTCTTTGAGTTGTGCAAATAACCCTCCTTTTCTGATTTTGTTCCTTCATTATGAATAGAGTCACTGCCCCGTCTAAGGGTCCTATCTATCTTGAGTTGCGGTAGTCAATCTGATCCCATAGAGGTAGTTCTTAAACAAGCATAATGCTCAAGGCTGATCTTTTTTACTAGTTAAGCCAAACTATTGCTAGATATTAAGGTGACTTCAGGGGATACTTTTGGTTTAAGATTTAAAGATTATCTTAGGACAATAGTATTAGGGCTTCACCTACCCTCCATGACTCCAGAAAGTCTAGAGGCCAGGAGAATTTCAAATTCTGTTCTGCATCCTCGCCCACTCCTTTTTTTTTGAGTCAAGTTTCTTCAATGGAATCTTTGATCAAAATGTTCAGAAATGGGGGCAAGGCACGATCCAATTCTTCTGGTCTCATGGCAAAGGAGGCAATTATTCATACATCACACATTCTATGTTGTTGTTGTTAAGTGCCATCGAGTCGGTTCCGACCCATAGCGACCCTGTACAGGGTTTCTGAGGGTGTAAATCTTTACGGGAGTAGAAAGCCTCATCTTTCGCCCCGGCTGGTAGTTTCGAACCACTGACCTTAAGGTTCACAGCCCGATTCGTAACCACTACGCTACCAGCTCACACATTCTATATCCTCCTCTTATTCCTGATTCTCTTTCCTTTGTGGCTCCAAGTGAAGAAAGCCGCTGGCGTGCCTTGGATGGCTGCTTGCAAGCTTTCAAAAATCCTAGGAGATCAAAGTACTCAACACACTGTTAGGCAGTTAACTTGGATGCCCCCATGAAACCATGATCCTTAACCTCCATATGAAGGAACCAAATTCCATGAGGTGTTTGGTTGTACGTAAGCAGCCTCAGCAGCTAAGATTTCTATTTTGTCACTTCTGCACATCTACTGTGTGTTCTCATATGTGAACTAAGGGAGAAAGAGTAACGCAAGAGCTTCCCACACTCTTTACATTTATACGGCTTCTCTCCAGTGTGGATTCTTAAGTGCTTGGTGACAGATGTGGAGCAGGTAAAGGCTTTCCCACACTCCTGACATTTATAAGGCTTATCTCCAGTGTGAGTTCTTATATGCTTAGTGAGGTTTGAGGACCGAGTGAAAGTTTTCCCACATTCTTTACACTCATAAGGCCTCTCTCCGGTGTGAGTTCTGATATGCACGGTGAGAGAGGCAGAGCGACTGAAGACTTTCCCACATTCTTTACATTCAAATGGCATCTCTCCACTGTGAGTCCTCTTATGTTTAACGAGGGATGAGGACTGGCTGAAGGATTTCCCACATTCTGGACATTCATAAGGTTTCTCTCCAGTGTGAATTCTGGTATGTCTAATGAGGTGTGAGGACTGACTGAAGACTCTCCCACACTGCTTACAGTCATATGACCGCTCTCCTCTGGGAGTTCCTATTTGTTTGCTGAACTTAGGGGACTTATTAAAAGGTTTCCCAGACTTTGAACATTTACAAGGTTTCTCTGCAGTGTAATTTCTTAAGTGTTCAGTGAGGGATGCAGCACAACTAAAGGCTTTCAAACATTTTTTACATTCATAAGACCACTTTCCATTGCAAATTTTTTGGCGTAAGGAGACTGATGAAGGATGAGTTTTCCAACATTCTTTATATTCACACTTATGACGGCTCACATGTATCCTAAAAGATGATAAACTACAGAGATCTTCCCCATATTCTCTACATTCAGAGGGTTTTCCTCCAGTAAGTGCTGTCATGTGATTCTTAACAGTTGAGATACAAACGAAGTCCTTCCCACATTTCTTACATTTACAGTGTTTCTCTCCAGTGAAAGTTCTCAGAGGACTGCTTAGGTAAGGGGCTTCTCCACATTCAGAAGGATTGGATTCAGGAATAGCTTGGAGCACAGTCAGAAGTGGAATCTGGCTGACAGTTCTTCCACACAGAGTGTCTTCATTTCTTTCACAAAGGTTCTCCAGAGCACGCCACCTTCTGCTTTTATTTTATAAAAAAATACAGGCAGTTCATCATTACCAACAGTGAATAGATACGTTTTTTTGTCCTGAGCTGTCTCATGCTTCATAGGTTAAATTATCCAGTAAAGACGCTACCATTACTAACACAGAATTTCTAAAATATAAGACTTCCTACTATTTGAGCATAAGTGAAAGGTTTTAATATTCAGTATCTGATTCACATTTATGAAAAAGTACATTATAAAAATCCTATGAAAACACAATTAGAGAGAGTTACATAACTCTTATCTACCTACTTCTCTAAATATAGTACAACCTGCGAAAGCCAGAACTTAAGACAATGTATCATTTTTCCAGGTCTTGCAAGTTTTCCATCTTTGACCAGATCTTTGACCAGGTGAAGTCTTACATTCTTAGGCCAATTCTCCACTTCTTTAGGTAGATCATTGAGTTTTCCTTCTCTGATAGTTTTCTATTTTACATAGGTTCCAGTTTTCACA